GTTCACTACTTATATATGTATATATGTATATATGTATGCACACATATACACATACATATGCACACACACACATATATACGCACTTGCATTTGTATTTATTTTTTGCACGCAAACACTTCCGACATTTTAAATGCAGCGGGCAAAGCGATCAGACCGGCTAAATAAATCAACATCAGCAATAACCAACAACAACAACAACAACAGTAGCAGCAGCAGCAAAGAGTAAGCAGCAAGCATGCGCCCAGCCAGCCCTCGTCAACGCGCGCGCTCTCCACACACACTCTCTCTCTCCCACTGTCACTCTCACCCTCCCTCTGCGCAGTGTGCTCTGCCCACGCTCAGCCGATGCCGCTGCTACTGCTGCTGTTGCTGTTGCTGCTGCACTTTGGCCGTTAAAGCGCTCATTGCATATAAATGATTTTAATCAATGGCGTTGACGTCGACGTTTACGCACACATACGTATCACACACACACACACATTAATAATAATAATAAATGACAGCGATCATACGAGCATAACAGAAATTCCTGCAATGCGTATTTGGAATGCGCACTGGAAGGGCGAGCCAAAGACACACGCTTTAACAGCTTTCCAGCGCAGCAAAATAACATTTTGTTGATTAATGATTTGCACTTTTATTAGCTAAGAGAAAAAAGGAAATCTGGTAGTAAAATCGATTTCTGACAGCTGTTAGACGATCACATTTAAAACTTTCGCTTTAAGCAACAGCAAAAACATCAGCAACATTTGATAATAATAATGTATGTAATAATAATTATTTTTAGAAAATCTAAACAAAAAGAAAAAGCTAGAGAAAAGAAATTAAAAAGAAGCCTAAGCTGCGGCAAGTCAACTTAAACAAAATATAAAATATAAATCGCAAACAAAACGGAATATGAAAATTAAACAAACTGTGTTAAAAGTACTTAAATAAACAGTTAAACCAGGTACTTACAAACAACTAATTACCAGCAAACAAATTTACAAACATTTTATTGTAAATTTAACAACAACAGATCAAATAAAAAACAAAAAGAACAGAGAAAATAAAAACAAATCAACGCCATGAAGAAGCTGTCACTCAATGTGAGTATACAAAAGTGGGCAGAGGGGAAATCAATTATATTTTTAATTGTTCCAAGAAAGAATGATCGAGAATCGAATATAAATATATACATATATGTATATACATCCTTCATTTTCAAGTTCAGCGAGTTGCCCAAGTCAAGTAATGGAAACAAGAGAAGTCCATTGAAGACTCTCCAATCGATCTTTGCTCTCGTTTGCCCATGTTAATGAACTTGAAAAAGGCAGCTTCATTATGAAGTTGCCAATGCTGATGCTGCTGATGAAGTTGTGACTGATTGAAATTGAAATTGAAGTTGAAGGGCAGCAAGTGCTGCAAATTGAAGAGTTGCCACACCAGCGAACAGAAACCAAAACAAATCAATTGATCGAACGCTAATATTTTGCACACTTTTATTTCCGTATCCAGCTCTCTCTGATATGATACAGTGTAGGATCAGATCTCCTTTAACTCGAGTCTATATAAAGATCATGCTACTGTCTTTCGTTTCAATTTCTTTGAATCGCTATATATTCAAATTGTCGAATTTATTTTTTTAGTCAAATTAATTTGTTGATTTGCCAAAAATAGCTTGTTTTTATTGTCAATGAATCCATTAAAATAAATAAATAAAATTCGTACTTTATCTCAAATATAAAATGACATTAGAAAGATTTCCCGGAATGGCTTAGCGCTCAACTAGATAACTTTTATCACTTCTGATTAAATGCGAGTTTTATTAGCTTTTTTAGCTTTTTTTTACTATCTCTGTGATTTCCGTGAATTGCCACCCTTGCACATCAGCGGAATTGGAAACTTTTCTTAGGGGTTTTTTAAATTTTTATATGTAGGTTCTTTCGGGCGTTGCCTAATTGAAAATCAATTGTGCAGAGACTTTTTGTGCCAGTGTATGTGTGTGCATATGTCTGTGTGGTGGTATTTGCAAAATGATAATGAAGCTATATAGCGCCTGCCACTTCAAGTGGAAGTTCGATTGTCTTTGTGTTTATACGCGTGGCCAAAGCAAGCAACAAAATTACAGATCCAGATACAAAGATACAAATTGACGCCTTTGATGTTGCCAATTGAGAAATGGGCAGCAGGCAGGGCCATATATCAAAGCACAATATGCATATGTTTTCCATATTATTATAAGTACTCCACCAATCTCTCATATAGCACACATATATGTGTATATGTATATAATTATATTTGTTTAACATCTGCCAGATCCAGACTCTCTTGAAGAGTTCAATGAACTGTCTAAGTGTATTTCGCATCGATTTGGCATTGGATTATATATGTATATATATAACTATATATGTGTGTGTGTCTATGTGAACTATAATTTATTGTATAATTAGCTATTAGGGTTTATCTAGACACATCTTAACTTTATAGCGCTTTATGACTTTATTCAATGACTCAATTACACAGCGAGAAAATGATGGCTACAACTGAATCTCATTCGTTTTCAATTTGAGCAGTTTAAAAATGTTTTTAGCAAGTTTATCTCTTGTCTATTATCTCTTGTCCTATTTCTTATATCTCATCTATCTTCGATGTTTAATCTCTTACCCATTTCATTACATCTTACCTAAGTCTGAGCTTTTAGCATTCATCCTATATCTATATCTTATTTATATTTGATCTTTTGCATCTTACCCATTTTTTGTCTTTCATCTTATATCTTAACTAGCTCTAGTTTATGTTCTCCAATTTGTCCCCGTTTTCTCGCAGCGTATTAATTGCGATATATACATATATGTAGGTATATATAATTGTAATCATGGCCAGATCAAATCAATTTTCTAAAGTGGCTGATGCAACACTTACCAAGTTTTGATTTGACTTTATGTTGCTGTGCAGCCATTGCCAGCAACAAATTTTTTATGGCGCGTTTTGTCTGCGCATTAAATTGGCCATTAAATGAACAATTATTTATAAATATATACATATATGAGACTGTGCGTGTGTGTTTGCGAGTATATTTATCTATGGCCAATGAAGCAATTAACAAATTTTTATTTGTATTATTATTT